TATATATATATATATATATATATATGTATATATATGTATATATATGTATATATATGTATATATATGTATGTGTATACAGGTTTGGTAAAGGATATGGATATATAGGTGGATGTTATGAATGTAATAGTTGTATAGGGGAAGAAAGAATAAAAGAAGAAATATATACAAATGGTCCTATTGCTGCTGCATTTGATGCTCCTGCTTCTTTATTTACATATAATTCAGGTGTATATACACCTCCTAAGGATACTATACATGCTAGAGTATGTGATCTACCTATACATAATAATAATAATAATAATAATAATAGTTATATAGATATAAATAATAATAATAATAATAATAATTATAATAATAAATTAACAGGATGGGAGTATACTAACCATGCTGTAGCTATTGTTGGATGGGGAGAGACTACTCCTGCTGCTGTTGCTGCTGGTGCTGCTGCTGATGGTTCTGCTGCTGCTGCTGCTGCACCAATAAAGTATTGGATAGTAAGGAATACATGGGGAGGTAATTGGGGTAATAAAGGATATTTTTTATTAATAAGAGGAGAGAATGCAGGAGGAATTGAATCACAAACTTCCTTTATTGATCCTGATCTATCCAGGGGAATGGGCAAAATATTATTAGATAATATTACTAATAAATATAAATAAATATATATAAATAAATCTATTATTTATTTATTTATTTATTTATTTATTTACTTATTTACTCCTGTATTCAAGTATACAATACATATTTCAAATACTCGCAGCGCAGCAGTAGCAAAAATGATGCTGTTGCTGTTGCTGCAGCAGCAGCTGCAGCAACAGCAGCAGCAGGAAGAGCAGCAGCAGGAAGTAACAACCAACCGGCAATGCTATAGTTGTTTACTAATTTACTGGTGACAATCGCCACATATGCATACATACATATACATATCCAGCTAGCCACCATGCTTGCTAGCTGGCTAGCTACCTAGCTAGCTAGGGGTTGGCTAGTAGCAATAGAGCTAGGGCCAAGCTAGCTGGCTAGCTAAGTGGCTTGCTAGCTAGCTAGCTAGCTATAGCTAGCTATAGCTAGCTAGGAGGGAGAGGAAGGGAGGAAGGAGAGGGCAAAATAAATAAATAAGATTCCTTTCCTCGTTCTTTGCGTTTGTCGGGAAAAAGCAGCAAAGTTTGCAAACAAATACAACAACGTTTTATTCATTTATTTATACACTTATTTATTATTTATTATTTATTATTTACTATTTATTATTATTTATTATTTATTATTATTATAAAAGTATTCTATTAAATAGTAAAATAGTAATTATAATAAGAAAATAACAACAGGAGGAGAAAAGAGCCTACATCTAATGTTGTTTCCTTACATAATACAATAATAATAATATTAATAAATAATAATAATAATAATAATAATAATAATAATAATATAAAAAGGTAATAATAATAATAATAGCAATAATAATAATACTACTAGTATATAATTGTTATTAAGTAGTAGCTGTAGCTAACAAGGGGAATAAACTATTTAGGGTAATCTATTTATTTATATATATTATATATAAATAATAAATAATTATATTTACCTATATAATATTAAATATATAGATGTATATATATTTATACATATTATATAATTTATATTAATATTGTATATTCAATTAATGTTATAAAAGCACATATTATGCTGTCTACAGCCTATTGTGGTGTACGTACACCCCAGGCGCTAAAAAGGCACATAAACAATTAATAAGGGTATTAACCCTACAATATAAACCCTAAACCCTAAACCCTAAACCCCAAACCCCAAACCCTAAACCCTAAACCCTAGCTACTACTACGTGGCTTCAATAGCCCCAAAACTTTCAACATACAACAACAAGTCCCACGCTACCACGGAGAAGCACATGCAGCAGCAGCAGCAGCAGCAGCAGCGGTTGCTGCAGCCGCTGCTTTTGCTGCTGCTGCTGCTGCTGCTGCAACAGTTGTTGTTGCTGCTGCTTCTGTCTCCGTGGTTGCACGCGTCTAGCTGCGCCTCGCGACTATCTTTTGCCTCGTGGCGCTGCAGCAAAAAGAAAAAAGAAATTGTTTGCATGCAATTGCGCATACACTAGAGGGAAAAGGAAATAAAAAAGAAAAAGGAAATAAATAAAGGAGGTACAAGTAAATAAATATATAAATAATACGTGTAGGCAACAAACAAACACACAAAAAAAAACAAATATATACGTATACACACAAATAATAAATATATTTCTTTTTTATGCATGCAGCATAATACACTCACCGCCTTGATTGACAACAGCACTTAGCTGTGCTGCAGCAGCAGCAGCAGCAGCAGCAGCGGCTGCTGCTGAGCTCGAAGCCGCAGCAGGTGCAGCGCCTGCATGCAAACCATACACAGAAATAAAATAAAATAAAAAAATAAATAAAGGAGAAAAAAAGAAAAAGAAAAAGAAGGCAAAAGGAAATAAAAATAAAAAAAAGAAAAAAAA